CGCCGGGCCCCGCCGACGTCGCCACCGCGGTGCACAACTGCCACTACCGGCCCTACCTGGAGAAGCAGGCCGCGGAGGTGGCGGAGATGGCGCGGGACGAGGCGCTGCACCTGCCCCCGGACCTGGACTACGCGGCCATGCCGGTGAGTGGTGAGGGGAGGGGAGGGTGATGAGAGGCTCCTGCACCGCCAGATGTTTCCTGTGAATGAGTTGCTGCGATACCTTGATTCCCCTGTTGACCGCTAGGCACTTATCACCGATACCACCACCTGACAAGAGCAGTCACTCGAATGTGTATCCCCTCCATATCCCCCCACCCCCCACAAATCAACCAAAATAAAAACAAGCTGTCGTCGGAGGATGTGGAGAAGCTGAGCACGGTGAGGCCCACCTGCCTGGCCGCGGCCCGTCGCATCCCGGGCGTCACCCCGGCGGCCATCGTGCTCCTGCTGCAGCACGTCCGGCGGCGCCAGAAGGCCAGGGCGGCCGTGGAGGCGCTGGGCACCGAGGCGGGGCGAGAGCTGGCAGACCGGCGAGCCCAGAGGGCGGCGACGGTCTGATGGCCTGCCTGATGCGGTGTGTCCTCGTACGTTGCAGGAAAGTGTTGTGCAGTGGGATGTCACGGCATCACAAAGTGAAAGTCACTCCATGGTGCTCCGTGGCAGAATCCATCCACCGCGCCCCCTCTTCCCGCATGTGAGATGGGTCGAGCAAGACCCGCGACGACGCCATGCAAAGGCTGCATGCTCCAGTGCATGGCCACACAAAATACATGAAAGCATCGTCCTACATCTCGAATTCAATGCACGGGTCATCCTGCTCGGTATCATGAACATGGAACGCTGCATGGCGGCATCGACCGGTCATGGAGGGCGATCGGCAACATCGCTCCGAGGCCCGCTCATTACCGCGCACCGGATCGCATGTGCTGCCAGCCGCGAGACCTCGAGTCGCCATCAGGAATCCGGGAGCATCGGCGCGCCCGTGCTGTCGCGCAGGCAGATCTTCCTGATGCTGCAGACGGCTGGGGCGGCATCCCTGGCGCCCATGGCGAGTCCCCCCCCAGCCCTCTCCCAGGGCTTGCCTGCCGAGCCGCGGGGCACCACCCAGCTCCTCTCCAAGGCCGACATGGCGGCCCTGACCCCCACCCAGCGCCAGCTCTATGAGTACAACCATCGGCTGCAGGTCTCCAATGGGGCTCCAGCAGGCTTCCCAGGATTCGTCAGGGAGGGCTACGACATGCGCGTGATCGCCGAAGAGGGATTTCAGGTGAGGACGCAGGGCGTGCGGGTGAGGCATGGGGAGGCTGGCCACCGTGATTGGGCAGCCACTGATTGAGCACCTTTAAGTTTCCATTGCAGACCACGCCGGAGGGTCTCATATACAAGGACTACGAAGCTGGGACAGGGGAGCTCCCCCAGGGGGAGCAGCAGGTGCTCTTTGACTACACGGCCTACAATGAAGCAGGCAAGATGGAGTGGGTGGTTGCCATGGGTGTTGGGATGGCATTCCCTTTGTACGCCTATTTACATCCTTGCCATCTGCCACCGCCTCCACTACCAACAGCGGGAGTGATTGACAGTTCATACCGCAAGAATGCCATCGCCAAAACGCGGTTGGGCATCGGAAGCCTGATTCCAGGTAGGTCGATCGGAATCAGGATGGTGGAAGGAAAGGCTGGTCGTTCAGGGGCCCTTGTCCATGTGTCACTGGGGTACCAGTGGGATGGAGGATTAGAGCAACGCCTCCGCTTCCCCGCCACCCTTAACCACCCTCCCACCCCCTCAGGCTTCGAGATGGGCCTGAAGACCATGCGTGTGGGCGGAAAGCGACGCATCGTCGTTCCCCCCGAGCTCGGCCCCCCCGTGGGGCCAGCCACATTCTTCTCGGCCAAGCAGTTTGAGGTGTTTGACGTGGAGCTGCGTGGCACACAGAACTGCCGTAGGCGCCAGACCGGTTTCTTCTCTGACGTCGTGTGCGAGTGACATGGTGGTTCAGCATCTCATACATTGGCCGGGGTGGCTTCCTACAGGGCAGGGAGGGCCCTCCCGCAGAGAGGGGCAGGTGTGAAAAAGAGGCGTGGCATAGGGAAAGGGCTGGCTGTCAACATGCGCTACGCCGTGTGGCTGTGACCAGGGTTTGAACCGGGTTCGTTCCCCACCAAGGATGGGGAAGAAAGGGGGCACAAGGGGCCTCTGCGTTGTTGGTCAGTGCAGGACGATGACAGGCTGCTTGATGTGGTGCGTCACATACTGCAAGGAGGGGAGGGGTGGGGGGCAAGATGTGAGATGCAGTGGTGATGCTCGATGGACGAGTTCCCGGGGGGGATGCCCGGCAGCTGTTGCGTGGGTCACTCCCCATCAAGTGCAGCCTCGATTAATAGATGTACCAGACCTCCAAGGCGCCGATGTCCACCATGCCTGGCAGCCAGCCCATGCAAGGCACCCCTCCCACTCGCACCTTGGTGACGGAGCCCATGAAGAACTCGGCGATGGCGCCGCGCTGGTGCTTGGCGAGGACCACGGCCGCGGCCTTCAGCGCGGCCGCACGTGTGACAATGGCCTCCCCTATGGAGTCATTGTCGGTGAGGAAGTGGACAATCTCCACCTGCAGGGTGTGGGATCGAGAGTGATGAGTGCTCAGCGGCTGTAGGACCCTGCTGGCGGAGCAGCATCGACGCAGGCTGTTGTGCCCCATTGAGCAATCGAAGGGCATGCCTGCCTCACCTTGTAGGCAATGTTTTTCGTGGCAACCTTGGTCACGAAACGGCGCTTGATAAACTCCTTGGCATCCGAGATCTATGGACCAGAGGAATGGCAGTACTCCTCGTTTGAGTCTGGAGTTTGAAGGCGTTGCAGGCTAGAAGCCGCCATGCATGACCTCTACCCCGGGCAACCAGCTCACATGCTTAATGTCCTCTTTCGGGTCGGGATCCACCGACACGAGGCCCGTGTCCATCCCGCCCAGGCCGCCTACAATCTCAGGCAGCGGCACAGGAACCACATGCAGGAGGTGGATCTGCGCGAGGCCGGCGAAGGGGTAAGGGGGGGGCTCCGAGGGGGGCGGTTAAGCAGAAGTACCACTCCGTGCCCGGAGCGCGGTTCCAGCAGCGCTCTCCAAGCCGACCCTGGCCTTGGAACCCAAAGAAGCAACCTCACCTCATCCCCTTCCTGGTAAAGATTCTCTACTGTCCAGTCCAGGACACGATCCGATGCCTACGACATGGAGGCCAAGGGCGGACGATCACTTGGCTGGCACGACAAGCTGAGTCACGGCCACGCATGCACCGCACTTTGCCACTCCCACCAGAAGCCAACATGCGTGCCCGATGCATGGACAGGCTTACATCTGAGTCGTCGACGGCCAGCAGGAGGACGCGCTTGGGCGCTCCGGAAGTCATGCTTAAGACTTGTCGAGGGTATCGATCAGAGGAAACTGGGTGGATATTGAGTATGCTTGCGAGTGAATTAAATGATTAGTTGATACTGTGGAAACATACGGAAGCAACCGGGCCGATGGCGAGGCTCCATTTACACGTGCCCTCCATTCCCGAAACCTCGTGGGGTACGGTGAAATAGGTACCCTGTTAAGGACAGGCGGTCTGGAGCAGCACACGGTGGGCAGTCTGCCGAAGGGTGAATGGTCAAAGCCGATCTGTGTTCTTGATCCACAGTGTTTGTAAGGCAGCAGCTCGTGATGTAAAACAAGGTGGCTAGTGCAGGGGCTTGGTGTTGCACAAGATGAATGCGACGGTTGCTGCTCTCGTGAGAGTCTGGCACGAATTTGGACAAACACAAGCATGACACAGCACTATTCACGTGATGCCCTTGAGCTTCTACCAGATCAGGATTCTTTTCCAGCGGTTCCAGCCAATGGTTGAACCTGGAGTCCCATGGCTGGATATTAGACCTGGCTGTTGACAGTGCCTGGCCCCCTCTCAGGCCCGCATAGCTTATTTACACTGAGGAAGAAACTTCACTACAACAGCAGGCGTCCAGACAATGGCTTCACAGGAGGCTCTCAAAGTACGAAAGGGTGGCAACTCGGTGAAGCTGCTACCAGCAGCTTGGTGTTGCACAAGATGAATGCGACGGTTGCTGCTCTCGTGAGAGTCTGGCACGAATTTGGACAAACACAAGCATGACACAGCACTATTCACGTGATGCCCTTGAGCTTCTACCAGATCAGGATTCTTTTCCAGCGGTTCCAGCCAATGGTTGAACCTGGAGTCCCATGGCTGGATATTAGACCTGGCTGTTGACAGTGCCTGGCCCCCTCTCAGGCCCGCATAGCTTATTTACACTGAGGAAGAAACTTCGCTACAACAGCAGGCGTCCAGACAATGGCTTCACAGGAGGCTCTCAAAGTACGAAAGGGTGGCAACTCGGTGAAGCTGCTACCAGCAGCAGTGTCACTGAGCAATGTGTGGGAGCTCTTTGTGGGCTTTTCCAGAGATAATACCAGTGCTCCACGCTTCAGTTGATGATGATGACGGGCACGGTGGCACTCTTCAGGATGACCTGCATGAGAGACTCACAGACCTCTCGTAGAGAGCCTGCCAGTGAAGGAGGGGAGCTCAGCATACCCTAACCGCATGCAAGGCGCTCCTCACCTTGGCGACAGACCCGATGAAGAGCTCCTGGAGGGCGCTGCGGTCCGACTTGCCCATCACGATGGCGCTGGCATGGACCTTCTCGGCATAGCTGACGAGCACCTCCCCGATTGCCTTGGTCTTGGATGGCGTGAGCAGGACAGCAACTGCAGGAAGGGTGAACATGAGCGCCTTGGGGTTGGGATTATTGCGTTGAGGGCTCCCTCCAGACCATTCTTGAGACGGCAGCAAGCGTAGGGCATACCTTCGTAGTGAATGCCAGTCTCCTTGAGGACCGGGGCGTAGAGGGTGGTGAAGTTGTCCTCGACCTCCTTCACCTGTGGCGGCTCGATGCAGGGGAATGATAGTGAGCAGAAGGTGTGTACGCCACCACGTGATACTCAGCCAATGGGCTGATGAAGCCATGCAGTACAAGTGTGATTCACTCTTTTGCTGGCACAGGGAACCCCCCCATCATTCTTCTACCCTCACCCTGCGCTTCAGCTTGTCTGCCCCCGACTCGGGCTCGGTGTAGCCGCTGCCCAGAGAGCCTGCCACACCCACTTCCGTGGTCTTCTCCGTGGCCGGGTCAGGGATCACCGCGGCGATATGAACCTGCGTGTGCGAGGGATGAGTGCAAGGGAATGGATCTAACTGCAGGGGAACCAGCGTGCACACTCACAGACTACACATGAATCTCCAAGATGTGGTTTCAGCTTGTTTTCCAGGCAAACCCTATGCCTACATGGTCACCAGGGTTGACAAAGTTTGCGAGAGTCTTCTTCAAGCGGTCCACGGATGCCTGGAGGAAACCGAGTCGCTGGGACTGAGCTGTACGCCCCCAGTATACATTATACAACTTCACATCTTCATAGCACCTGAGCACGTATTGTGCACACCTTGGTGCTGTCCACTCCGATCACGTACACACGACCACTTCCCGGCATGATGTTTCGAGATAACAGGGTTAAAGCTTGCCAAGATCTTATTTCAGAAGGAGGATACGCGCAATTTATGCCGTCAGAAGAAAATCTTGGTAATTAAGTCGTAAGACGTATGTATGAGTAAAGCATTTGGGTTAAGTTGTTTGCTGAAGATGCGAATCTCGTGAGCACGTAGCCTCGAGCCTCGAGAGCGTTCCGCAGACAAGTCCTTCCGGGTTTTCTAGCTTTCTTCAATTATCCCCCCTGCGGCATGAAATTTGTGTGCACCATCCTATCGAGGTGGAGGGGTGGGACAACGCACCTGCAGACGCTCATTACAGGCCGAACATAACCTTTGCTGTGCGATCATTCCTTGCATTGGCGCCCATGTGCCTGTGATTCCGCGTGTCCCCGGTGCGACCAGCGGCCGAGCACACCGTATGCACCGCGCCGCGGGATTAGGGAGACCACGCATGCCCTTGCATAGGCCCGCGGTCAATCATCAAGCTTGTAAGGCATGGGGCCTGCTCGCAGCGGGGAGAGCCCCAGCTGCCTCCTGCAGGGCTGCCAACCCTGTGCACCAGCCGTCCAGTGCCCAGCCCCAGCGCCTGGGGCAGGATGCCCATGCGATATCCCCCCGGGACGCCGCCCCCCCGGCCCAGCCGGCACCGGTGGACCCTGTGCTCAAGAGGACACGTAAGCGCAACGTCTCCAATCGCCTGCACATCACCCCCGAGCTGCCGCCAGAGGAGGCGCTGCGCCGCATGCGCATCAGCGATGCAAACACCGGCAAGCCGGCCTGGAACAAGGGCCGCAAGCACTCCGAAGGTGCCAAGGTTTTTTTGTGTTTTCCTGCCAATGGGGCTGCAGGAGGAGTTAGACGGTGACCAAGATGTGTTCAGGCCTCAGTGCCGGAAGTGATTCGTCTTGTGCGCTCAGAGTCCCTTTCGCTGGCCCGCTCTGCAGAGACCAAGGCCAAGATCCGAGCTGCGACGGCGGCTGCCATGCAGCGTCCAGACGTGCACGCCAAGGTCATCGCAGCCTTGGAGTACCGCAACCCTGTCTCCCAGGAGGACCGGGTGGGTGTGGCATCTTGGCAAGGCTCCACATGTCGAGTGCTCATGCACAGTCTAAGGGTGCTTCTGCAGCCTCTGCATTCCTCTGCATGCTCCAAGAGGCTGGGACATGGTCCAGCAAGGGGTCTTCGACCTGTCCTCCATCCGCGCTAGTGCCCATCAGCTCCAAGATTGTCCTGCGTTCACACTGCCGCCTCGCAGGACAAGATCTCGCAGAAGGCGCGGATCAAGATTGCTGAGGCTCGCGCCATCATGCTGCCTCAGGCGCAGGAGCTGCGGGACCAGCTGCGGGTCAGCGAAGACTCAGACCTGCAGACGGTGGCAGAGTCCCACCACGTCATAGATGACATCATGGCTCTGGCGTGGTGCAAGCTGCGACGAAAGGAGAAGGTGAGGTGGACGAATGGGAAGGTACTGGGAATCTGGGAGCGGGCCTGTGCGTGCTGTTACAGAGGCCCCCTGGTCTTTTGGGGGGCCGGGGTGGGGCTGAGAGATCAGAAGGATTGCTCAGTTGATGCAATACCTGACTGGCTGTGAGCACCTGTGCTGGCTCCTGGCCGGCGCCGGGGCCATGCCCCTGTGGGTGGAGGTGCAACCTTTGGAGCAATCTCGGTCTTTCCCCCCCTCTCGACGCATTGGGATCTCGCAGCTGGTCGAAGCGGCTTGGGCTCACGAGACCTTCATGAAGGACCTGGTGCGGAGGGTCTACGCCAAGATGAAGCGTGATGAGCGTATGGCCGCGCGGCAGGAGGTGGGCGGGGTGGGTGTGTCATGTGATCAAGGGCCACACGTGCTGCGTAGAGGGTTCCACAAGATTTTGTGGAGGCAGGCAGCCTCCTGGATCCCTCCTGCGCAAGGGCTCGAGGGCCGGAAGGAGCATGCAGCGTCCACAGCTCCACCTGCTTTCCAACCCAGTACGATACCCTCATCGGAGCCTCCACCTCATCCCCCTCTTCCCACCCCCTCCCTCTGCAGAGCAAGCGCGTGATGGCCGTCGCGACGTCGCAGCTGCGCCAGCTGCGCCGCGCCGAGGCCAAGCTGCAGCTGGTGGAGCGAGCCCTGGTCAACCTAGAACGAGCGGTGAGTGTCCTTGCATGCTGCTCCCTGGGGCCTGTCCTGCCGATTCATTGGTCCACATGACCAGAGCGGGGGTCCGGCATGCCCCTTGGTGCTGGCATGTGGCAGTCCTGTGATGTCTCGGTGTCAGAGAGTGCGCCGGGATGGGAAGTCTCACTGACCTGCTGCGTCCTTGCTGTCGTTCAGTCAGCAGCCCCAGCAATGCCCTTCTTTCTCTCTGCCCTTGTTCCAGCGACCCAGCATGGAGCAGTCGCAGCAGCTGGAGCGCTACAGGACGACGGAGCTGGAGGCCAAGGAATTGGTGGAGCGCTGCCGCAAGCAGGTCACGGAGCTGAGCGAGGCCTTGCACGCCGTGGCGACATCCTCCCGTGCCAGCCGGTCCGAGGGAGCGGAGGGGCAGGACTGAGGTACAGCGCTGTGGTTGGTGCCATGTCCGAATTATTTCTTCCTGATTCAGTATGGGCATGTATCTGGCAGGACTCTGCGCTCGCTCCTTCAGCCCTTCCATTGTTTGCTGAGGTCCCTTGCTGACCCAGTCCCACTCAGAACCCCTTGCTCCCCTGAGTTCCTCTCAGTATTGATATTCTTGTGGGTGATCCAATGTACAGCTTCAGTTTGGTGTCAGGGGTGGCACGCTGGGAAAGCCAGTCCTGGCAAGTACCTTCGGGTGGTATGTCGTCAATGGCCTATGCGTAAACAATACACATGGTCGTCGCGGCAACCCAAGAACAGGCTGCCCGTCTCTACATCAAAGGTTGGAGCTGAAAAGATGGGCGCAGGCAGGCAAATGGCCTCCCTGATCTGCCAGGCAGGCACGGCCCCTTCAGAGGGTGCCAGCAGGGCGACATGCCCAGAGGCAGTGGTGGCCACTAGGAGGGGCTGGGCGAGGGAGGTGCCCGGGGCCGTGACATGCACCAGCCCCGTGATGCGTGAGCCGAGGCCCGGGAGGCTGATTTGCAGGGGTTGCTCCTGCCAGCCGGCCCCAGAATACGCCTGCAGGATGCACAGCCGCCCGTCTTCGCACCCCATCGCCAGGCCCCCGTCGCCCAGCGCGCTCAGCGGGGCATAGACCCCGGAGGGCGCTGGCGCGCAGGGCAGGGCGATTGGGCTGCACCCATCGCAGTCCTTCAGGCTGGCATTCAGGTCGATACGGGCGCAGCCGCCCACGGCGCTCACAGCGACCACTGACAGACCTGTGCGGCCAGGGCAAACGGCGACCGGCGCAAACAGGGGCGCGCGCCGCATCCCCAGTTCACTGCTGCCGAGGGTCCAGGCCACGGTTTCTGGCTGCCCACGACGGGCCCTGCAGGAGATGCCCACCACCGACCCGTCCAGGCATGCAGCCACCGCCAGTTGCAGGGCAGGCACGAATGTGACGGCCGCGGAGACGGGGCCGAGAAGGGGGATGGATTCCTGGCGAAATTGGGCGACTGCAGGAAAGAGCGGGGGTGCAGTGGCAAAACTTCAGCCGAGGGGATGCAGGATACTGTGGCGACACTGCCAAGGTACGTCATATAAATAAAGCAGGCCTGGTCCATCAGCACCCCGAATCTCGCCAGCAGCCTTGCCCTCCCCACCTGGATCTCCGTCGGAAATGGTGAGTATGAGCATGGACCTGGCGTGGGTGCCGATCCAAACCCGGTGGTGAATGTCTGTCACTGGCCGTGCCCTCACGGGGCCGCCGGCGTCCACGTCCCCAACCACGCCGCCTGTGCTTTGATATGCAGGGGTGGGAAGACTTGAGGAGATTGAAGTTGAGCCGTCGAGGATCCTCCTCCAGACCCTTGTTTGATGAGCACGCAGGCCTGGCTGCTTCTCAAACATTCAGTCAGCATGCCACCCTCAAACACACCCCCACTCCCATGGCAAAATCTCCCCAGTCCTGCCTGTGTCGGCATGCAGGATGCTCAGGACGCCCGTGGATGCTGCGACGGTCAGGAAGGCAAGGGAGGGCCCGCAGACACAGACCCCGGCATCCAGGGGGCCCTGCCCCTCGCACCGCCAGACGACGTCGCCAGCCGGCACGGCCAGGCACGCCACGGAGCCGCCATGCGAACAGGCATACACGCGGCTGCCGAGCAGGCAGGCGGGGGCGTCGACGCACATGGTCAACGCAACCCGCCATCCCTCGACCAGGAGCGAGGGACCGGCCCGCGCCGGCGCCCCGCCCCAGACCCTGGCCCCCTGCAGCGCGGGATGGAGGCTGGAGCTGGCCGGCTCGGCGTCGTGCCCAGAACAGGGGGCGAGGTGGCGTGCCAGGCCGCGGATGGTGGGGTCGGCCACCACCACGGCCGGGGGAATCCGGAGGGAGGCCGCCAGCGCCGCAATCGCCAGGCTGTCGGCCCCCCCCCAGGATCATGTCCTCGCATGCCTCCGGGGCACGTCCCAAAACTGCTGCGACGGCGGCAGCCACGTCGGCCTCTGTCCAGGACGCCCGGGGGGGCAGCGCGCCGGCATCGCCGCTTCCCCGCCCAGCCACGGCCGCCGGCCACCCAGTGAGCGGCAGTCGCGGCCGCTTGCCCAAACCCCTGGCGGTGAGCCTCCGGGATACCAGCGGCCGAGCCAGCGCCTGCGCAGCCATCCGGTCCAGCTTGCCCGAAGTTGTGTATGGCACCTGGGCGGCCGGCAGCAGAAGGACGACAGCAGGCACGGCGGCCGCGTGCAGACGCGCCGCCGCCTGGGAGCGCAGAGCCTCTCCGTGCATCGCACTTGGCTCATTGCAGAAGACGAGGGCCAGCAGGCTGCTGGCCAGCCAGGCCACTGCCTCCTTCACGCCCTCTATCTCGCCCAAAACCATTTCCAGCTCGGCCAGATCCACCCGCGTCCCTGTGGCAAGTGTTTGTGGCAGAGGACTGAAGGTGGGTTGAGACGACAGGGTGCATGCACAGGACCTTGTTGGTGAGTCGGACGTCAGGTCTCGCTTTGGATCCCTTTCATAGCTTCGTACACGTGAAGAGAAATTCCAGTCTAACATCGCGCCAGCACGCAATCCACTGGGGAGCACCAATGCTCGGTAGCAGCGGCTCGCCTCCCACCACCACCTGCCGCCTCACCCGAGACCTTGACGCAGCGATCTGCCCGTCCCAGCAGGGTCAGGCACCTCGCGTCGTCCATGCAGCCCCAGTCCCCCGTGTCGAAGAAGGGCATGCGGTCGGGCATGTCATCAGAGTGGCCGGCCAGCGACACAGGACCCTCTCTCGCCCGCGTCAGGCCCTCGAACCAGCGCAGGGCCAGGCATCCGTCGCCCGTTGTGCCCTCCGCAAGGCACAGGCCGGCCACCAGGACGCGCCCGGGGGACCCGAGCTCGCACAGGGCGGAGGCGCCTTGATCGTGGGTCACAACAGGGTCCTTTTGGGTTCCCCCCATGGTCGACGTCTGAGCTGCGCCGGCAAAATGCACGCTTTCCTCCCGGCACACCGCCACCACGACGCCCGGGAGGGGGCGGCCGACAGGGATGGGCGCGGCTGAGTGGCCCGACCATCCGCTGAGATCGGCCCACGTGGCGTCCGCCGCCGTCTCGGTGCAGCCGTACAGGTTGAGCAGGCGGGCCGGGGCGGGGAGGAGGGCGCGCATGGCGCGCAGCGCTGGCCCCGTCAGTGGCTCGCCGCTGCTGACGCCGACCCGGGCCGGGGGCAGTGGGCCGCCGGGGGCGGCAGCTGCCGCCCAGCTGCGCCACACGCGCGGCAGCGCCGCGACAATGCTGGCCTCGCCCAGCCGCAGCGCCTCAATGCACTGCAGTGGGACCACGATCATGGGAGCGGTAGCAAGGGCTTTGTAGGTGTGGATGAAGCGGCGCAAGGTGTACATCCATGCTGGCCTGCACGCGTGGAAGCCTGAGGAGGGCCCTCCATGTCCACAAGGACTTGAGCGTTGCCTTGCAGATGCGCACCTTGGCCGGATCCTTCAGGAGGGCGCGGGGTATGGCGAGTATGCGGGCGCCGCCAAGCAAAGACCCCAGGCATTCCATCAGGCTGTCCACAAAGACGGGGGCCGTCTTGAACGCATATGTGTCACTGGGGTTGAGGAAGCCCTGAGACTGCGCCCATTTGACGCGATTGAGAAGACCTGGCGAGGAAGAGTGGTGGAGAGGGGGTGCGACTTCGCTGTGTGCAAGGGGTCTGTGTCCGGAGGAGAGGGACATTTCAGGCCAGGGCCGTCCATTCGCAGGGCTGGACACCTGAGTGAGATGCACAATTTCTCTGATCCCGTCGACTCACCTGTCTCTGTCCCGAGCACGCCGACCGGCGAGCCAGTGCTCCCAGATGTGAACAAGACGTAGATGTGAGGCATGGGGGTTGACGCTCCAGGGCCAGAGTTGCCACTATCGCCATGACATAGGTGCTGTGCGGGTTCTGGCGCCGCTGCGGCGTCTGGTGGAGGTCCGATGTGCACCGTGGGGAGCCTGATGCCGGTTGGGGGTTGTGTGCCAAGCCTCAGGGCCAACACCCTGGCCCCGGACCCCGATATCGCCGTCTCGATCCGAGAGGCAGGCCATTCAATGTCAATGGGCACAAAAGCACACCTGCGGGCGAGGGCGGAACAGACTGTCCCCGAGAAGACAGTGTGCCAGGTGATGATGTTCATGCGGCACTTTGCGGCCTGGGCTTGGCTTATGTGTTAGGTCCCTCGCCGAGGTGCTGTGAAAGCCTAGCCTTCAACACCCAGCTCCCATCCCATCAGCTCACCCTATGGCGAGGCACGCAAGGGCGCCCACGACATATTCACAGGAGTTATCAAGGTATAGAGCTATCGCGGGCGGTTCGCTCAGTTCCTTGCCCGCAGAGACATCGGCATGGTGGGAAAATGTATCCTGCACCTTCTCCACCTAAATGAATGGACGACTCGGTCGCGGTGAGGCCGCAGCGGCCCATGACGTATCCAGTGTAGACAATGAATCAGAATATGTGGATATGTACGTACCCATGTGAGTAATTGTGCGCATTTGTACTCGATTGCTTGAAGGGTGCCACTCTTGTACTCCCTCACAGCAATCCTGCCAGGCTCGGTCACGAGGCGGTCATGAATGATTTGCCATACTTCTGAGTGATACTGCCGCATGTTTAAAACTACATTGTTTCAGGTGTTCGGGGTTTGTGTGTTAGAATTATCGTACTTTCACATCATTGCATCGCTCCATGGTGTATGGCCATTTGCAGTGCGCGCGGATCTGCCACGATTTGAATTGTTGCAACCCCAGGTCACCACGGTGCGGGCGAGTGATCCGGCGAGTCACATGGCAAAATACCTCTTCAGCGGGTACGGACATGTTCAGATAACAACCTGCAACAATCCAAGATTGGCCTGGAGATGCTGCATCTCAGCACCTGCGCCCGGCTGGGGCTCGGCCCACGGGGCTCCCTTCATCCGCGCCATGTGCAGCCTCGCGCACAGCCCCGACCAGCCCGCTCCCGGTCGGCGCCAGCCCAGACTCGGAGCCAGGTGCAGCTCCTCGCCGCCCGGGATGACGTCAGCACACTGCGCTTGCCCCTGGATTTCATCGCCATTCTGACCACCGTCAGCGAGCAGAAGGGCCCCAATGAACGGTGAGGATACCTGTCCGTCCATGCTGGGTGCTCCTTCACTGAGACCATGCCATGTAATGAGCCTGCGCCTGAAATGATTCGAGTCCTGTGGTGCTCGTAGGGACATCCTGTGTGCCCAGCTCGCGCCCCCCCCCCCCCTCCCCGTCTCTGTAGGCACGCCAACTTCAGCCCCGGCGCCCTGACGGCGCGCTCCGAGATCCTGGAGGGCGCCCGGGCCACGCTACGCGACCCCGGCAGCCAGGCCCGCTACGCGCAGCGCGTGCAGCGTGGGGAGGTGGAGGAGCGGGTGCCCTCCCGCCTCGTCCCCGGCGCGCTCCTGCTGCTGCTGGAGGCGGGTCGCGCCCGGGATGCGGCAGAGGCGGGCCAGCGCTGGCTGTCCCAGGCGCGCAGGGGGGTGCGGGAAGCCCAGGACGTGGCGCTCGCGACGGGGCTGGGCCTCTGCGACGCCGCCGCCGACCACCTGGCCCAGACGGGGCGCGTGGCAGAGGTGGGAGAGACTGGGAGGATGCATGTGGCTGGGCAGGGTGCGGTGTACATGGTGCTACCGAGATGAACTAGTGTTGTGTCACCAAGTTTGAGAGGGTGGTGGGCACAGGGATGGAGCCTGGCAATGCGCAGCCCCAGGAACCACCCAAACCCTCATCCGCCGCGCATCACCCCGCCAGACCGTTCACCTGCTGGAGGAGGCCGCGGGTGTGCTGCACAAGCACAGGGCGGGGTCCAGCCTGCAGGCAGACATCCGGACGGCGGTGCAGGAGCTGGAGACTGCGGTGGTGATGGAGCTGCTGGGCGCCGGGAAGGAGGGCAGGGTGGAGGGCCTGCGCCGCGCCCGCCAAATCCTGCTGTCGTCCGGCGGGAGGCACGGCGAGGCACCCACCTCGAGCCCCTCGGCGCCGCCGGCCCCCAGCCTGGAGTGGAGGTCCAAGTTCCTGGCCGACCTGACACCACAAGAGCTGGTAAACCGGCTAAGTTGTTGAGGCTGGGTGGCCGGCGGCCTTGATCAAGGTTGCTTCAGACCAGGGTCCCTTTGGAGTACTGTGCTTGGTGCAAGTCTCTCCACACTTCTCAGGCATGCGATACCTCGCCCCCACCCCCCTCGACGTGCAGCACTCTTTTTGAATCAACCCCAAGCACAGCTGCCTCTTTCCCCACCCCGGCCAGATGGCGTTCCACGAGGGCGTGGGGCACAGCGCGGCGGGCACCTCCATGGACCTGTACCGCATCAGTACCGCCTACATCGGCTTCGCAACCCTGACCAGGAGGCCCGCCTTGCTGATTGCCGCGCTTTCCTGCCTGGATGCGGCCGACGCGATGGAGGACGCGGCGCCCGGCACGGCACCCGGCCAGGCGCCGCAGGACGCGCGCCGGGCGGTGGAGGAGCGCCAGCGGCGTAGTGTGGCCCGGGCGGCCGCGCGGCTCCTGCTGGGCGACACCGAGGCCGCCAAGGCGGCCCTGGGCTGGCAGCAGGGCAGGCCTGCCGACCGCCAGGTGGCCGCCTTTGTCAAGGTGGGCGAGGCGAAGGGCTGCGGGGGGGTTGGGGAAGGCCGTACGGGTGCACGCGGGCGCAGGCTGCCTGGCAGACGGCCTCTGCTCACGCACACCGCGCGCGGTCGACGTCCGCAAAACCCATACTCCCGCCCTTTCCTCTGCAGGCCAACAGCCCGGACCCCTCCGACCCACTGCCGGGCCTCTGTGCTCTGGTGGAGCGCTGGGTGAGCGGCGTCGCCTGGCCATACGCGACATCTGTCGGGTGGGGCCCTGGGGGGGGGTTGGAAGGGGGTGGTTGAGCAAGAGGGCATGCTATCCTGTGGTGCTGACGAGGACCAGTCTGTGCAGGGTATGCGCGGATGTTCCCAGGGGAGTGGACGCCTTTGAAACCCGCCTCGACCCCGAGCCCCTTCCCCCTGGAACTCCTCTGCTCACAGGCAGGAGCCTGGCCAGGCGGAGGGGGCGTTCAGCATCAATGCCTGGTTCGGGGATGCGGCAGTCCAGGCCTACCTCTCCTCGCCCCGGCCCCACGGTGACAGCCAGCCGAGCCTGGCCGAGAGGCTGGCGGGGGGGACCGAGGCGGTGCTGGCCTGGCTCGGATCGCTCGTCGGAGGGCGCAGGGAGCCGACCGGCGAAGTGGCGCTGGGAGGACGTGGGGCCCGGGAAGCTGGAAAACAGCCCGCGTCGCCCCTGGCCGTCGAGGCAGAGCTGGAAAGCAGGGAGGCAGGATCGACGACTGCAGCGAGGCAGCCGGCCGCAGGCGGTCCATCCGTGATGCGGAGCAGCCAGACCTGGCCTGAGCCGACAGAGTCCGGCGCCGAGCCTCCTTCGCAAGCTCCGGCTCCACATGAAGCGGCCTCCTCGCCGCTCCATGCACCGACACCGGCAGCCGATCCCAAGCCGAGGCGTGCGCCTCCTCGGGACGGGGCCGGCGGTGTGCCTGAGGTTCGTGCTGCCGCCTCCCGGCAGCCCGGCGAGGACGGCGCCGCCCCGGCAGGAGTGCCGCGCGTCCGGCGCCGGACCCCGCCCCCCCTTCCCCCCCGAAGCAGGCCCTCCCTGGGCCTGGCCCGGCTTGAGGGTGAGGAGCTGATGTGGGACGCGGGCAAGCGGCGCCGGCCGCGCTGGGGACGCTTCCTGGCGGCAGGGGCCTCCATCCTGGTGAGGTCGTGGGGAGGAGGGGGCGGTTTTCGATATGTTGAGAGGCATGGGCGGGTCTTTGCCATCCAATAGGTCTGGGTTGTGGCAGATGCCCACAGAGTTTTGAGGTCGAGACATGCGTGTGCAGGGTCACGCCAACACTCCTGTCAGTGCACTCAAGGCACGCCCGCGCTCCTACCCATGCTCCCCCTCTGTACGCCAGGCTGGCGTCGCGCTGGCATCGCGCCTGCCCGGACTGACGCAGGGCCCGCGGCAGCCTGTGAGCCCGGCGGCGGAGACTGCGCACCCGGCAGACTCGACGCTCAGCGGCACGCAGGCTCTGCAGCTCATCAAGCGCTGGCAGCTGGTCCGGGTGAGGGGGTGAGGAATCAAAGGGCCCAAACGGTCAGGATGCCGACCCAGTGAGTGACCCGTGCGGCCCGGTGTTGGCTTCGCCCATTTTCTGCCCCAAGATCCTGCCGTACCGAGCCCCTCCTCCCCCCTGCGCACCGGCAGGCGGCGGCACTGGGCGTGAAGCATGACGCCCGCTCCCTCCCCACCATCCTCGGGGGGGAACTGCTGGCCACCTGGCAGGAAAGGACGAAGCAGCTCGCCGCGCAGAACTGGTGTGCTGAGCGGGAGGGGGTGAGGGACGGCCCTGATGGCCTTGTTTCGCACCGGATGCTGCCATGTGGATCGCATCGGTGCACTCCCACCACAGGCACTACGACCAGGCCCTGGACGCGGTGAAGCTGCTCTCTGTCAAGCCTGGGAGTTCCCCTTACACGGCAGTGGTGAGGGCACGCCTGTCCGAGAGCCTGGTGGCGCACCAGGGGAGGGATGCGGCGCCGGTGGCGCAGCGGTGAGTGCTGGTGGCCTCGTGGGGTAGGGTGCGGTTTGCAAGGGGAAGTGCTTTGCACTCCTGAATTACCTATGCGGCAGAAGAAGAGGAGAGATCGCACTGCTCCCTCCCACTGCTTCCAGCCCTCAGAACCCACCAACATTTAAATACCCACCACCACAGCAAGGAGTACACGGTGAGGTATGTCGTCGAGAAGCGGGGCTCCGGCTGGATCATCCTGGAGGCCGACATCGAGGGATGATTACCTATGCAGCCGGGCGATGAAGCCCTGACAAGCCTGGGAGGGCACCTGCAAGTGCCTCCTGGCTTGATTGCATGCCGCGGCTTTGAGCAACCGGCGTTCTATGCCTCGGTGGACCATGCTTGTAGACGCTTCCTCACAGCTTCTCATCTGCACCTGCTGTACCAAATCATCCCTGGCGCAGCGCCTTGATCATCCAGGGCGATGGGATGTAGCACATACTGGGGAAAATGCACTTCAACTCTTGCAAACGCTGGCGAGGGGTTGTGGGGATGCTGCGATGAAACCTCATGTTCAGGTCGGCTTCCCTGCCGGCATCACGTGTCCGGATGCGCTCTCCGGAGCCGCTCACGGCAGGGGTTTCCCGCACTCTCCCTTGGGCATGAAGCTGCGCTGCGTCTGCCGAAGAGCTCCCCGTCTCCTGAACTCTGCAGGTACTTTATGTTTGCCAAATAGTTTCCCAGTTTCGCATTCCTAGATGCTTTGATTGGCCACCGCCACGACATTGTGGTACCTCCATCCTCGTGTTCTTGCCGAAAGTGCGCTCGGGCCCTACCTCGATGAGCGGTGCAGTCCTCACAACCTTTGTCGTCTTGTTGGGCTCGCTTGGACTGGCGCTGGCAAGCACACCTTCTTCTTACTCATGGGTCTACACCTACCCCACTGGGTTTAGCTGCGACCCGGTACGGAGGTGCCACTCGTTGCCGACAGCGCGGACATGCTCTATTAGCCCCTGATTACGCTTTACCCGTGCCCATTCAAGGTCGTGAACCCCCACTTGATGTGCAGCTCTCCATAAAACAATTCGGGGCCGACCCAACCGGAGCCAAGGACGTGAGTGGCGTGCTCACTTCCGTGAACAGCATTTCCAACTTCGACGCTTCCGGCATCATACACATCACCGCCGGCACATACCTGGTCGCAAAATCCATCGCCCTCAGCAAGCCGGTGTCTCTGTCGGCGGGAGCGGTCCTGAAGATCGCTTCAGGGGTCACGCTTACCTTCAACTCTCCGGTGGCGGCCCCGTCCTCGTCCCAGATCTTTTCCGGCCCAGGAGCCGTCAAGTTTGGGTTCGGCGTCCAGGCTTCGGTGTATGTGGAGTGGTTTGGTGCCAAGGGGAACGGCGCAACCGATGACACAGCGGCCATCAACGCTGTGCTGGCAGCCGGAGACAGTTCCCTCAACGTCATGTTCCAAGCCAAGACGTACCTGACATCTGGCCCGCTGATGGTCCCATCCAACGCTGTCGTCCAAGCTGCCCCAGGTGCGTGCCTCTCTTACTCTGTGACTGAATACCTGCTCAGCTGGCTATGGTCTAGACTCACTGGGAAGGTTGTGAGACAGCCATGTGAGCCTTGGATACTGTCTCTCTCCCAGGCCTTGACCTCAAGACCTGACAATGCTCACCACCTTCACCACTGCTTGCACGAACGCGCATTCAAGCCCTACATGAGATGGGCTTCTCTTTGTCTCCAACCACCATTGCCTGCAGCCTCACCCTCTGCTGCAATCTGCTGAGTCTGGTGGACGTACTTCCCATGCACGGAATTCTCTCATGTCCCCCTTGGCACCTCCCCCCACCCCTAAAACCCTCCTCCAGGCGCTATGGTGAAGGGCAAGTCGCGGCTGGCTGACGCGTTTGTGTTCCAGCTGCCCACCGCCGGGGGCATATACATCGGGCGCCAGAGCCTCCCGGCCCTGCAGAACCACCGCCGTGCCATCACCTTTTCGGACGCCGGCATTGTGAGGCGGGCAGCTTGAGGGGGAGCACGTTGCACATGCCTCTCTCTCCCTGCACCCCCCTCTGATGTGTGATGCACCTTGATTGTACCAGGCTCTCCAAAGACCAGCTGCTGTCATGCCTCCAATCTCACATCCTCTCTAAGACGCACACACCTCAACCCCGCTCCCCTGTCCTACAGATCGACGTCTATTCCCCATCTGTCAGCGGCTGCGATGAGGCTGTGCGCGTGCAGAGCACCCGGGCCAAGGGCGCGGGGCGCCAGATCTCCCAAGTCCGTGTGGAAGTCCCCAAGCTGGACAACGTCATCAAGGTGGTGAACTTCTTTGACAAGAACGGCGGCGCCGTCATGTGAGCCGCGCCATGGAGGGGGGGTGCAGCGCATGCCGTGCTTATTTCCTGGGCCGAGATGGGAGCGGTGGGGACTGGTTGTGTGTCATGAATTCGCCATGGAAGCATGCATGCAGCCACAATGCGTACACTTACACCACCGCTCCAAGGGAGTGTTGCACCCTTGTCCCAGGCCTATGCACCTTGTCCCTGAACCTCAGTGTCCACTCACTCCCGCAACTCCCCGCCAGGCAAGGGAGCAACTTCAGGTTTGGGACATACACCGACTCTGGCTCGGGGACGGCGCTCATCTCCTTCCAGGCCAGCGGCGGGGGCTGGGCATACTGGGACTCCAACGACTACCACTTCGACCGAGGTGGGCAGGGTGACGGGAAGAGTGCCATTTTGGCGGCTGACACGACCTTTCAACCTGCGACCTGCTCTGCACATTGAACATTCGGGAGCCTCCTACCGGCTGTGTCCCGGGCCCAATCAGTACTCTTGTCTGGCAGAGGTCCTTGCTCCTTGACTGATGCTCCAAGATGGGCCCGGGTCTGGCTGCACTCTCGAGCATAGCTACACTGCTTTGCACCCTCTGCCGTGACTGTCCTGGACCGGCACGGCATCTTGGTGCCACCCCCCCACCCTTCCCTCCCCCCCAACTCCTGCAGTCACCCCCGCCGCCTCGTCCTCGGCCAACAAGCTGGTCCTCCTCGCCTGCGACGTGAGCACCACGCTGTACCGCCAGAATCTGTACATCTCCCGCCTGGACCCCCTGCCCGCCGGCGGCCGCCTGACCAACGCCAACATCCAGGACTGCATGATGGTGGTGAGCGCCAGCGCGGCGCTGAGCGCCGCGCAGATGGCGCTGCCCGTGTTCCGGTCCGGCACGGTCAAGTCCAACAACTTCAACAACTTCATGCTGACTGCGCCAGCCATCGCCGGCCTGACGGCCTCCACCTCGCCCAACACGCGCGCCTCCTTCAACGGCGGCCTGCCCCTGACCTCCTCCCTCTTCACCCTGGCCCTGCGGGCCAACAAGCCCAGCAGGGACCCGCGCACAGGCAAGACGCCGGCGGACGGCAAGACCTGGCCCGCGGGCGAGGCGCGCCGCTTCTACTTCTACCATGGCCTGGCCCAGAACCAGCAGCTGGTCTACGTCACCGTGCCCAAGATCGGGGCCACCTGCCAGCCCAGCGGCGTCGCCATCACGGGGATCTTCGACAACTCGGGTGCGGGGGAAGGGTCGGTCGGTCTGTGTTCTCAAAGGCTGCAGATTGGTGCATGGGGCGTGGTGGTATCATGCATGACCAACCGATGGCACGAGCGTGTGCGAGGCAGGATCAAGGGCACGTTCAGTATTACCAAGGCCGGCCCGAGTTGTCCAGTTCACTCTCCACCACACCCCTCCCGCTGCAGCCACCGTCCCATATGAGGTGGAGGTCGTGGCGGTGGCCTGCAAGCCGCTCGTGGTCGCAGACGTCAAGTCGGGCAAGGTCAACATCAGCTTCCCGGTGCTGGTCGGCACTGTGGGCACAGACTGAGCGCCGAGAGTCTGGCCAGGCCTGGTGAGCGGGCAGCCTCAGTGCTCACGCGACCTGGCCACTCTGTGGTGTGGCCTCAGCAGGGCTGGACAACAACTCCTCCGCAGTACAATAGACCCTCGAGTCCACCAAACGACATGTTCGGACCGAGAGGTCCTGATACATGACGTGTTTTTGAGTTTGCATGCCGATGACATACCTTTAAGTTCAGTGCATGCACCTTTAGAGGCTGCATGAAGGCCGGATCCCACGTGCACCTTCCTCTCCACCATCGACCCCGGGCGTCCGAGCTTTCATTCACCGCTCGAATACATCGCTGTACATAATCAAGCCAGCCAATGCACCTGCATTTGAGATGCTCAAGCTGCTTCAAGAAACATTTACATGCTGGCGACACTAAGTATCACATTTGCTGAACTTGCACACCAGGGCCACATGTTGTAGTCGCTCGAGTCTCGCATGTACGCAAACCCTGCCATGCTTCATGGGCTAACCCATCCCGGCATCAATCGTGCCCATGCACCACACCATGAAAATCCACGTTCTAGATGTCGGCTGACCCTCCGCCGCATGTTTGCCGTCACCAACGGGTCTCCTGTGGTCACAGGTGCATTGAGAGGTTGTGGACCAGAGATGTGAAACATGTAGTGCATGGCGAAGCCTGTTCTCAAGGATCCTATCTGATCTATCTTCCCTCACATCTCGCTCCTCACACCCATCAGCACCGAGCATGAGCTCGAGGTCGGAGCAGCTGGGAATCGACAAGGCCTACCTGCTGAGACGGATTGCCTCTCTTGAGAGGGGGGCCTCTGCATCCCCTCGAGACAGGAGGGAGGTGGACGAAGCCCAGGTGGGCTTGCGCGGCAGGAGCCGAGGTGCCCAGCCCATGGCCCTCTGCCATTGGTCCCGTGATACCCTGTCTAAGCCCCCCTGCAAATATCGTGCCGTCCCGCCGGCTTGCCTTCAGGGAGCCCCCTCCCCCATCTCTCAACCGGCCCGCAGGTCCTGGTGGAGTCCCACGCCGCCCCCACCCTGGACCTGCACCAGCTCTCTGGAAAGTGGCGCATGCTGTACACCACCGCCCGCGACGTCATCCCCCTGGTGCGCGCCAACACGCTGCCCTCCTTCCTGCCCCAGCCCTTGCGCGTGGGCCCCATCTTTCAGGAGTTTGATGATCGGGGCGGCGTGCGCAACGTCATAGAGGCCGAGGCCCTGCTGCCGCCCGGCAGGGGCACGCGCCTGACCTTCCAGGTGGAGGCCCGCTACCAGCGCCGCGGACCACGCTCCCTGGGCCTGCGCTTCGTGGCCGCCGGGGTCCCGCACCTGGAGCCCAGCGCCTCCCTGCGCGCCTTCCTGGCCCCGGCGCTGGCGCCGCGCGGCTGGTGGACCCACCGCCTCCTCCTCGCAGCGCAGCAGGTGGGAGGAAAGGTAGCACGCGTGTTTGTGTTGGGGCTCGGCTCAAGCAGGCGAGGTGGTGCAGCTGCAGGCCGGGCAGGTGGGCACCAGCACCGGCACCAAGACCCCCTCCCTACCCTGCCCCTCGCTGTCTGCCTACACAGGCACACATCAGGGTGCCGCTCGTGCCGCCGCCGATCCTGGATGCCTTCTCAGCGCAGCAGGGCGAGTACCTGCTGAGCTACCTGGACGACACCATGCTCATCGGGCGCACCAAGGCAGGAGGCGGCACCTTCATCTTCTCCCGCGAGCCTGATATCGGCGACCGCCTGCTGGAGCAGGAGAGCAGGAGCCTGGGACCCATCAGCCAGCGATGAGGCGGGGAGGGAGGGGTGTGCCGCGGTGGGCAGACCCTCTGACGCTCGACGGCCACTCGCCGGCTCACTCGCAAGCCAAAGATCCTTTGGAGCGGCGTCCCTGGCAGGCGGGTGCCAGCCTCATCCCCCCACCGCACTGTGTGAAACCTGACCAGCTTCCTGCATTGATTCTGTCGCTCTCTTACAATGAGGCTCCAGGGTCTGGGGTGGTGCTGAGGGGAAGCAATGATCGGGTCGCACTCGGGCAGGCTCGTGAAACGTGCCACAGCTCATCGCCGCCCGCCGCCCCTGCCGGCGCCCCGGCCCCTGCCCCCACCGCCGCCGCTCCTGCCGCCGCGGCCCCGCCGGCCGCCGCCGCCGCCGCGCCCGCGCGAGCCTCCGTCCGACCCGAAGGAGCCGGTGGGAGGGCTGGAGCCGCGACCCCTTCCCCTCCCCCTGCCGCCCCGGCCCCTGCCGCCTCCGCCGCCGCCCCAGTCGACGCCGTCGGGCGCCATGCGCGGCCGGAAGGCCAGCTCCTTGTTCCCCGTCGAGCGCTGGCGGGCGTTGCCCGTGCCCCCCGCCCCCGCGGCCAGCCTCTCCCCCAGCGGCTGCGCCTGCTCCCGCACCAGGGACCGCCCGGCGCGGAACGCCGCTGCTGCGGCCGCGTCGCGGGCCTCGTACAGCCGCGGCGCGCCCGCCGGCGCTGCCGGCTCCGCTTCGCGGTGCTGCCGCTTGTCCTGCGGCGTTTGTTTGAGCGTCGGGAGGTGGTCAGGACAGAGGAAGCGCAGGGAGGGCACGCGGACTGCTGCTCCATTGAAGCACAAGCAACAGGGCATGGGGTAGAATGTATGGTCATGAGTCATGCATTGAGATCCTCCCCACCTCAGAATACACCACTCACCCTGTGCCGGGCGGCCGGCTTCCGGGCGCGAGTCTGGTCGTCGTCCTGGCCCTCTGTGTCCGATGCCGACTGGGCATCGCCGTCACCCTCCACCGCCTCAAAGTGCTCCCTGACCAGCCGCCTCTCCTTGGCCGGATCTGGGGTGGCGGCGGGAGAGCAAGGGTGAGGACGTCGGGGGCAGCGAGGGTTGAACAGGTCGACGGGATGCTTCCCCCTGGTCCCCACTCCCCTGCTCAGGTCCCACAGACGGACCAGAACCCGCCTCAGCGCCTCCAGCCCATTGAGGCACGCACCGGCGTTGGGGTGCAGCAGCTTGTAGTCTCGCGAGGCCTCGTCGATGGTGAACTCGGTGTCCTCAAACATGGCCTTGAAGCGGGTGTCCTCCAGGAGGTTGGGCAGGGCGGCCTTGCGCTTCTTGGGCCCATCCTCGCCCTCCTCGCCCAGCAGACGAGCAGCGGTGGTGGCGTTGACCTGGGCGTGCGAGGGATGTCAGGGGTGTGGGAGTGGGAATTTGGCACAACGACGCTCAAGCTCGGTGGTTCACCTCGAGGACGGTGCGGCGGCGCGTCACTGGATGAGGTGGTTGCAGGCCGCCGGGGCAGCGCTGCCTGGGCCACTGTTCCTCACACAGCAGCAGTTAAGAGCATCCCTCACCCCCCCTCCTCCCTCACACACACCTTGGGCAGCTTCTTAATGATGGAGATCCGGCTTTTTCGCTCCTCCTCCAGCTTCTGGGCGACCCGCTTCGCCCGATAGGCTTCGTAGGCGAAGGGATCCACCGCATTCTTGGCCTTGTTGTACAACCTGCATGGCTTCGGGTTTTAGTCAGGTCGACTTGCCACCCTGCTCCTGGACAGGCAGGCGTAACCATGGATGGCACAGAGCAGACGACGCCTCACACCCTCCCAGTCCGACCTGTTGTCAAGGAAGAATCCGTGCATGTAGGGCTTGAGCATGTTGGTGCCCACGAGGTTGGCCAGCCCCAGCGAGTCCTGCAGATTGAGGAGGGTAGGCGGGGGGGGCGAGAGGTCAGTAGAGCACCGAGGAGGGGGACACGTGGGAGCGCAGCAACACTGCTCCTGGCTCCTGGTGGATGTGCCCACCCCACGACCAGTTGCAGGCCAGAGGGCGTCCAACATCCCAGGGAACGGTGCCATCCACCCCTGAAATCCCCCTCCCACCAGCTCGGCACGAGTGATGAAGCGGTAGTCGTCGTACACCGCCGGCGCCGTCCTTTCCTCCAGCTCCTCCGTCATGGACTCCAGGAAGGAGCTCCACTTGGGTGCAGGCCCGAGCGCCGGGATGAAGTAAGCCTGCGGTGTCGTCGAATAGGCATGGATGGAGTTGACAGAATGCACGTCATCCAGACCAGGGGTGGCGCCTGACACATTCTCAACCCGACCCATGCGCCGATGTGCAGCACGATTTGCGCCAGGCAACAGCAAGTAAGGCAGCATTGGGCGGCCGCCCGGCCCCAACCAAGTCCTCCGGCGACCCACCCTGGGGTCTCCGCACCTAAGCATCCCCTCCAAATGTAAAATCGCTTGCCTGGATGCGGGGCGTGTCGCAGCCGGCCATGACCAGCCCCGAGCCGGGCCAGAGGCAGATGTCGTTGATGTCCCCGTCCTTGGGCTCGATGTTGGTGAACCCCTCGCCGCTGGCCGCGTCCCAGAACTTGATGATGTGCCGGTCGGCGGAGGCCACGAGCGCGCGCGACCGCCCGGCGGCGGTGGTCGGCCACTTGATGTCCAGGATGGGCGACTCATACTGGTGGTCCTTGACTACCATGGGCCGCTGGGGCGAGCAAGAAAGGGGGATGAAGGGGATGAGATCGGGATGCGCGGTTTGAACGGGGGTTGGTCGACTAATCAAGACCAGCCACTCAGCGATGGGAAGCAACGGGCAGCATGCGCAGATAGATACACTGGAAAAGGTCCTGAGATCACCCGTTCTCTGGCCAGGCCAAGGCATGTTTTGGAGCATGGCATCAGGTGGTGGAACTCCCGGGCCCCCCGCTCACCCCCCCCAGGCCGCCCACCTCCCGTCTCCCACCCCCTCACCTGTGACCTGAGGTCAAACACGGCGACCAGGCCGCCGCTGGTGCCCACGGCGACGTGCATGCCCGAGTCGTCGAAGCGCAGCGCTGTCAGGCCCTGTCCGTCGGCCCCCGCCGCGCGCGCCGCCTCCAGCGAGCCCACGCTGGCCCTGACCCGTGGGTCGTAGCACTCCAGCAGGCCCTCCTCCCCCGCGGCGGCCAGCAGGCCATGCGCGGGGGACAGGCCCAGCGCATTGACCCCGGGGCTGGCGGCGGGCATGGGCGCCATGAAGCGCCCCTCCTCCAGGCTGAGGCGCCAGATCTCGGGCGCCGACCCCGCCACGAAGAGCTCCGCGGTGGGGTGGGAATAGGTGAGGCAGCGGCCGGCGCGCGGCACGCGCGTCTTGTGATAGCTGCCGAACTTGGCGTGGAAGTCCAGGCGGCGGTCGTCGCACAGAAACACCGCCTTGCTGTAGTCCTCGGACAGGATCTGGAAGTCCACGATCTCCGCATTCAGGTGGCGCTCAAACTTTAGGGACAGCTGGTTGACATCGTACACTCGTACCTGGTATTGGAGGGAAGGCGGTGATGGGAACGAGCGGCAGAACCAACTTTGGATCGCACAGGTGCCATACTCCCCCTTCGATTGCCCATCCACCCACCCTTGGCGGGTGGTAGCCGCTGGCAAAGATGTACTGCTGGTCCGCGGAGACCTTGATGCGCTGGCAGGCGGCCGGGAACTCAAAGTCTTGCACCAGCTCCACCCTGCAATGGGTGAGGTGGGCGGGCTTGATGGGTGACAGCTGCTTGAGGCCTCAGCAGATTGCATTGGCATGGGGCTCCCCTGACAGCTCGCCTTCAAGCCATGGATGCCAGATATACATGCTGCGCTTGAAGATCACTCTGCATGAAACAATATAACAGCAGCAGGTGCTCGACATGAGGATTGCACCGCCCACAACACAACTCGACTCACCTCCGGTTGTAGTCTTCATCTTTGCGGAGGGATCGCTTCTTCTTGTCCGACACCCATGTGGGTAGGTTTTTCCCACCGGCTACCGTGTAGACCTGTGGGGTGGACGGGAGCATTTCACGCTCGATTGCTGGCTCCGGTGTGCAGCGCAGTGGGCGCCATGCAGACACAGTGCAGCCCACCTTGACGCCGTCTGGGGCAGCGAATCTGAGCGACATGCCAAATTGAGCGCCTATATATTCACTGCATCCGGCACATTGTTATTAACCGCACTGCTGGCGCGCTCTGGTACTCGGAGTGGACCACCGCGCTTGTCGCAGTCGGTGCAGGTGCAGGGACTAGGCGAAGCTGTGCTCCCTTGGGCACTTCTAGCTACAATATAATGTGATTTGTGTATTGAATAATATCAGACCTCCATGCAAGCGGAGAGAAGGCCTTGGCAGAATACTCGCGCCTGCAGGTCGCTGCCCCGTCAGGCCACGTACGCAGCAAGGGGCTGGCAGGCTAGGTGGGAAGGGCATCTCTGACCCAGAAAAAGAGCAGGAGGGGTGGCGGCGCACCTCCACTCTCATTCGAGTGACTGCGTATTGCCTTCCCACCCTATTCCTGTCTGGCCCTCCTGATGGACCTCGGCCCTGCACTGCCCCCGCGTCAGGTCGACCTAGTTGTGTAGGATGGAGAGGCCACAGTCCGGTCACATTTGGGGTGTATTCTTCTCATAACATGGTATGACGAAAAAAATTGAGGCCTGACACGACAGTGCAGCGGCGAGCCTCGCCAGGGGACCTGCGCCAGCCCAAGCGGGCGCAGGCGCCGGCTGCGCAGGCTCGACAAAGGGATGCAGCCGATTCAGTTTGGGATCAGGCATGGGCCAGCTCCTTCTGTCCAGCCCTCTTGCTAGCCTTGATCCCGGCAATCGCTGCGCAGTGTGGGTTGTTTGGGGGAGGGCGAATCATCCCTGTACTCATATTGATCTGGTGCCAAGCACCCGCCATACGCATCCCGCCCCTGATGCACTGCGTGGCAGCCCTCCCAACCCCGCACAAAGAACACAGCGGCCCCACGCTGCCACGCACGCCACCCCTCTCCTGAACAGTCCCCGAGACTCACCCTTGGCGTAGTCAGGGGCCTTGAACACGCCGCTGCCGGAGACGAGTGCGTTGGCCCCAACCTCGATCACCTCCCAGGCGTTGTCCGGCACGATGCCGCCATCCACCTCGATCCAGGGGTTGACGCCCCGCTCATCGCACATGGCTTTCAGCGCCTTGATCTTCCGGACCTGGGTGGTCAAGGGTGCACGGGCAGAAGGATAGCAATCAGATGAGGCAGTCGAGTGGGGACGTACTGCATGCGTAGCACGAGTCTGCACGCTCCCACCGGGGCCCGAAGAGCTCCAAGGTGGGGAGTGCTGCCGGAACTGGCTGCCCCACCCCCCCACACATGCTTCAAACCACTCCTCCCCTGCTCTGAGACCAAGGCCTCCCCTCGCTCTTGCAGTCTTCCGACCAACAAGGCCCCCCCCCCAGATGCCCGACAACAACATCCCACCTGGGACGCAATGAACTTCTGGCCCCCGAAGCCAGGGTTGACGCTCATGACCAGCACCAAGTCGACGATGTCCAGCACATACTCGATGGTGTCCAGGGACGTCCCAGGGTTCAGCACCACGCCCGCCTTGCACCCCAGCTCCTTGATCTGCGCGCCGCAGAGGGTGGTAAGGGGAACCTGAGGGCTGGCAGGGCAGGTGGGAGGGGCCAGCCCAGCCTGGCAGGGCTGCCCACAGCCCCAGACCGATGAGAAACCCTCGCAACAAGATGCATCAGACAGCCTGTCGTGATCACCCGTCTCCCTCAAGGACCTTGCCTGGTTGATGGCGCGGTGCAGGTGGATGGTGGAGGACTGCTCGGCATGCACCGAGATGATGTCGGAGCCGGCCTTGGCAAAGTCAGCCACACGCAGCTCTGGCTCCACAATCATCTGCACCATGGTGCAAGGGAGGGGAAGGGCACGATGAGGAGGCTGACTCAGCATGTGGGACGATCAGGATGCCGTCAAGGGCTGGAAAGGGCGCTCGCACATCTGATACCCCTCTCTGCCAGCAGCCAGGTGCAGGCGTGCCATCCACACGCACACACCCTCTCGGGAAATCCTCCGCCGAATCCCATCCTTACGCACCAGGTGGGTGTCCAGGGGCTTGTCGGTGATGTTGCGCAGGGCATCCACCACCAGGGGCCCAATGGTGATGTTGGGCACAAAGCGGCCGTCCATGACGTCGACGTGGATCCAGTCGGCGCCTGCCTCGTCCACGGCCTTGACCTGGCGGGCAGCGGTGAAGGAGAGGGGGCTGAGCATGCTGGAGTTGACCTGGGCACACAACCTGCAAGTCGACTCCATGGAGCATGGGTCAGGGCTGCTGATCCACTCTATGATAACCCTTGCGAGCGACGCACCTGTTCACCCAGGCGACTGAAATCCGCGCTCAGGATGGAGGGAGCCACCTGCAGCAGTCGGGCGGAGCCTTGGAGCCCTCAGTATACTGGCTTCCGACCAGGGCCCGCCCTACGTCACCGAGCGGAGGGGAGCAGCAGGGCACGCGTATGCACTGGGAGCATGCGAGCCCGAATCTCACCATAATATCCGATTTGCTGAAGCGGTCTACTCGGGCGTTGGCACGGACCGACATCCCCCTGCGACCCCCGCGCGTGGACATCTTTGGGGAGAGGGCAGCCTTGAAGGCATTTGTGGCCATCAGTGTGGACATGATGGCTGATGAATCGATTGAGTGCCTCGTAACAGGTAAAAAATCGAGTAATTACGACTTCAAGCGCTTGGTCTCGGGATACTCCGGGCCCCTCCTTATCGGTGGTGCTCCGTCCCTGAGCAGATCTCCTGGATTCGGAGTTTGGGCGCAAGCACGACAGTTGCATCCCCAAAGGTATTCACTGGGACGATGCAAGGATTGGAAACAGCATCCACCCCAACATGTAAACTTGGAAGATTTTGACCGAGAACCGACAGACCCCTGCCGTGGTGCGGGAGGGAAAATGGCTGCGCAGCTGGTGCACAGCCAAAGTGCCCCACTCGTGCCATGCAGCCCATGGGGGGTATGGAGATCGCAGAACCACAAGTTCTTCATTAGATCATCTGTCGTACATGATTCTAGAAGCTCCACTGCCCCGCGCGCTGGACGGCGAAAACTGGTGCTGGTGCCTGCCTCTAGGTCCCCATTGGGAAGGAGTGTTGCTCCCAGGCGGCGGGCACCCGCCCTCGCTGCAGTGCCCAAGGCTCAGGGCGCTCTTGATTTCATAAACTCCAACGTCACCCCCCTGGCCCTCATTTCTGCCCTCTTGATCGGGTGCGCTCAGGGGAGAGCAGGGTCCAGATCCTGCAGATCCAGGCGCTGCAGGGGGTTGCGCGCTCCACGCATTCCAGTCCTCCACTCACGCTCAGACCCCTCCCCTCCTCCTCTGACCCTTACCCCTCCCAGGTGGCACTTCCCAGCCTATGGTGCCGCCGCGGCGGGTAGGAACCTGGCCCCGCTCTCCACCGCGGGCATGTTCTTCCTTTCCGGCCTGCTACTGAACTCGGGGGAGGTGGGCGACGCGCTGCGCTGTCCCGCGGCCCTGGCCTACGGCCTGACGGCGGTGCTGGGGCTGACCTCCGCCCTGGCGCCCCTCGTCCTCCGCCTCCCCCTGGCGCCGCCCGAGCTGGCCATCGGCTTCGCCGTCTTCTGCTGCATGCCCACCACCCTCTCCACGGGTGTGGTCCTGACGCAGGTGGGGATGAGTTGGAGAGGGAGGATGGGAAGTGGGAGTCATAGAGAGCCCCCAGTACTGTCCAAGCCATGGCGCATACTCCTTGGCATGGATCATGGGCGCCGGCTCTGGCATGCCCCATCCCAAACACCCCTGCTGATGTGTGTGTGCGCGCCTGGCCATCCAGGCGCCGGCTGCCTGCCCAGGCGGTAAGGTCGTCTTGCGAGGCTCAACACTCGGCCGCGCGCCCAGCCCTCTCCCCGCTCGGCACCCACAGGCGGTGCGCGGGAACGCGGCCGTGGCCCTGATGCTGACGGTGTCCAGCAACCTGCTCAGCGTGCTCAGCGTACCACTCCTCCTGCGCTGGGTCCTGGGCTCCGCCGCGGGCGCGGCCTCCTTCTCCCCGCTGGCCATCTGTCTGGGCCTGGCCCGCACGGTGGTGGCGCCGCTGCTGGCGGGCGTGGCGGTGCAGCTGGCCGTGCCCGGCGTGCCCGCCTGGCGCGCCGCGCGCCGGCGCCAGCTGTCCTACCTCAGCGCGGGCCTGCTGGCCTTCATCCCCTGGATGCAGATCAGCCGCGCGGCGGCGGGGCGGCTGCCACTGGGACCCGGCACGCTGGCCAGCGCCGCCGCCACGGGGCTGGGCATCCACCTCGTGTTCCTGGCCACGAACGTCGCCCTCACCAGCCTCATCCGCTTCTCCACGATCAGCGCCGTGGCAGGTGCTGCTGCATGAGGGATTGGGGTGGAGGAGACTGGGCTCGGAGTGCCGGTGCCACCCTGCCCATGCATGGGTGGACAAGGTTGTCCAAGCATGGCTGGTGGCGGAGGCGGAAGTGAACCCCCACCGCGGCCCCCCTCCTTCACTGTTACCTCTGCAGATCGCGGCATACGGCGCGCGGTCATCCTGTGCAGCAGCCAGAAGACGCTGCCCATCGCCATTGCTGTCATAGGCCAGCTGGGCGAGGGCCTGGGCCCAGGGGCGGCCTACGCCGCCATCGCCTGCGTGGCGGCACACCTCATCCAGACCGTGTTCGATTCCGGCCTGGTGTCGTGGTGGCTCCGGCGAGACGCAGCGGCGCTGGAGGCCGAGACGAGGGCCGTCTAGCGGGCCTTGTCCGGCCCTGCAGGGGCTTGAGTTGGATGGGGTCGCACTGAGGTTGCAGCGACATGCTGCCATGTTGGGAGCAAATAGGAAACGCCATTTCCTGCCCTGAAGCTGTGAGATAGAGGCAGTGCACCTCGTATGGCCATGCATGCTGGCATGGTGTCATACATCCTGCCCGCTGGCAACCAAGGCAGACCCTCGTCGTGAACCTCTGTGTGTCTTCCTGTCAACAAGGCCCCTCCCAGGGCAAATTCAGGGGGACGGGGCTGAGTTCCCTGCGCAAGCGTATGTGCCAAGCAGCAAGCAGAGCAGAGCAAAGCTAGGGGACAGAGGGGGCCGGGCCATTCACTCGACACGAGGGACCCCAGCGGCAGAGTGCCAGGGCGCCTCAGCTCATTGGAGCGTCGGCCTGCCGGCCTCAGGGCTCGTCCCAGAGGTCCGACAAGGTCTTGTACGGCCCCTCCTCGCTCAGCCAGAAGGAACCGTCCACCATGCGCTGCTGGTGGGCGATGCCATTCAGCTTTGCCATGGCTTCCTCCGACAACTCCCAGTCCCAGACGTCCGCATTTTGCTGCAAGGAAGGGAAGGCGGGAAGGTTGTGAGAAAATGGATGATGAGCAGTGATCAAATCAGAGAGACCTGTGGCACATGCGCCGCTACACTTACAGTCTTCCAGGCAACCCCTCGCCTGGTCCCCTCCCGTCAACCTGCCGAGGCGCACGGCCCCTTTGGCACTGCCTATGATTGTCATCACAGTGCCGAGAAACACTACTCTCCTCCTTTCAAAGTCATCCTCAACCCCCCCATCACACTACCTTGATGCGGTCCTCGTTGGTGCTCTTGGGCAGGAAGGAGGTCCCGCGCTGCAGCGCCCAGCGCAGCGCCACCTGCGCGGGGGTCCGCCCCGCCTCGCCCGCCACCTCCGCCAGCACGGGGTCGTCCAGCAGGCGCGCGCTGGGGGCGCGCCCCAGCTCCGCCGCGCTGTCCGGGGACCCCAGCGGGGAGTAGGCGGTGAGATGGATGCCCGCGGCGCGGCAGTGCGCCAGCAGGCGCTCGTTGCGGAAGTAGGGGTGCGCCTCCACCTGGCACACCGCCGGCGGGATGGTGGCGCCCGCCGCCAGCTCCTCCAGCTTCCGGACGGAGAAGTTGGCCACGCCGATGGAGCGCGCCAGACCCGCGTGCACCAGCCCCTCCATGGCGCCCCAGGTCTCGGCGGTGGGGGGCGTCAGGCGCGGGCCTTTCGTCCCCGTCACCGGCCAGTGCATCAGGTACAGGTCGAGGTAGTCGAGGCGCAGCGCACGCAGCGTGCGCCGGGCCGCGCGCTCCACGGCGGCGGCCGCGTGCGACGTGTTCCACAGCTTGCCCGTGATGAACAGGTCCTCGCGCCGCACCACGCCGGCCTCGAACAGCGCGGCAAGGGCCGCGCCCACCTCGGCCTCGTTGCGGTACACCTCCGCGCAGTCCAGGTGGCGGTAGCCCAGGCGCACCGCCGCCTGCACCGCCGCCGCAACCTGGCCGGGCGGCGCCTTCCACGTGCCCAGGCCCAGCAGCGGCATGCGCGCGCCGCTGGAAAGCATGGCATACGCCTGGCGCGCCAGCGGCGGGGAGCGGCGCCCGTGAAGGCGTGCGGCGGGCTCCCGGCCAATGCGTCGGGGGCCGGCGAGGCGTGGGGAGGTTGTGCTGGCCCAGCGCCGCTGCGCAGTCCCTCGCTCCGCGCTCTGCTGGGACCCTGCTCCCCGCTGGGAGCCGCGCCGCCCTCCGGCTCGTCCCACAGCTCCTCCATCGTCCTGCCGGGCCGGAGAAGGGGGTCAGCTTGAAGATTGATGAGCAAATCAAGCATGTTCTCCCGATAATGGCATTGACAAGGTCGGAGCTGTTAACACTCGCGTGAGAGACGAAGTGCGCGATGCCCAGAAACTCCTCCACTCGACAAATCCCAAAGCGCACCTGTAGGGACCCCTGGGGTGGAGCCAGGTGGCGCCGTTGACCATGCGCTGCTGCACGGGCAGCGTGCTCAGCGCGGCCATGTCCTCCTCGGTCAGCTCCCAGTCCAAGACCTGCAATGCAGTCATGGTTGCGGGAGGAGAGGCTGGGTGGGAGACGCATGAGCAAAGGCCGTCACGCCGCATGGTGCCCGTGTGGCGAGCTCGAACTGCCAGGGCATCCCATGCTGGGCCTTTAATGATGTCGCGATTGCATCTGAGCCATGGGGAGGAGCTCCCGTGCACCACGCTGGACCCCCCCCCAAAAAAACCAGACGCCAGCAACTGCACACCTGTAGGTTGCCTGCGATGCGCGCGGGTGAGGTGCTCTTGGGGATGACGCTGGTGCCATGCTGCAGCGCCCAGCGGATCAGCACCTGGCCCGCGTTCTTGCCGCACGCCGCGGCGACCGCCAGCACCCGCTCGTCCCGCAGCAGGTCCAGCGGGAGCTTGCGGGGGAAGATGGAGGCCGAGTCGGGGGAGCCCAGCGGGGAAAACGCCGTGACATGGATGCCCCTCTCCCGACACCAGCCCAGCAGGGCGTCGTTCCGCCAGTAGGGGTGCGCCTCGATCTGTGTGTGTGTGTGAGGTGTGAGGAGTGGTATAGAGGGGAGGAAGGAGGGGGAGCTGCAGGGCCTGAGTAGAGCATCCGTGACAGAACTGGAAGACCGGGTGCTGTGGACTCTAAAGAGGGGGAGATTGCGCTTGCTGTCCATGCATGGGGCCCGGAACAGCTAGAGCGGGCCCTATCCGAGCCGCCTCCCGACCGACTGCCTGCCGCATCATTCACCAACCTGGCACACGGCCGGCTGGATGGTGGCGTGCTGCATCACCTCCTCCATCTTCCGGGCAGAGAAGTTGGACATGCCGATGGCACGCACCAGCCCCTCCCGCACCAGCCCCTCCATGGCGTCCCAGGTGTCTCGCAAGGAGGGGGTCAGGGCGGGACCGGGGATGCCGGTGACGGGCCAGTGGATGAGGTAGAGGTCGAGGTAGGTCAGGCGCAGCGCCGCCAGGGACTTGACGCAGGCGGCCCTCACGCGCCCCACGGCATGGTCTGAGTTCCTGTGCGTTGGGGTTGCATAGAGGGGGGTAAAACTGTCGGCCGCTACTGTGCATGACATCGGGAGTGCCGAGCCTGCCTTGCTCCTCAAAACCGCAGGCAGGCGGGGTGAGGACACTCCCCATGCGAGGGTCTTCTGGTGCGCAGTGCTTGCCTCGCTCCTCGAAGTAGGCCCCAGGATGCAACTCGGCTCCATTCGCATGCTCACACCAGTGCCTGTAATCCCAACCCTCCCGACTCACCAGAGCTTGGAGCAGATGAACAGCTCCTCCCGAGGAATGGCGCCGCTGCCCAGTGCGGCCTGCAGGGCCTCCCCCACCTCCTCCTCGTTCTGGTACACTGAGGCGCAGTCGATGTGGCGGTACCCGGCCTTCAGAGCGGCGTGCACGGCGGACCGCACCTGGCCCCTCTCCGCCTTCCAGGTGCCCAGGCCCACCAGGGGAATGCTGCCCCCAGAGGCCAGGGTCGCGCGGGGCACATCCACCCGAGCATATAATGCCTTGGTAGCATCTCTGCGTGCCTGCTTCCTGGCGGCCAGCTCACGGACCTCCGCGGCCTGGGCCTGGGCAGGGAGATCGCGGGGTGTCCCTGGCGAGGCCACAAAGTCCAGCACGGTCGTTCGGCTCCCCCGGCATCCCGGCAGATCGATGCGGTAGGACTCGATCCAGGGGGATTTGGCAAGGTTCGCCTGGCCCATGGGCCCCCGCGAGGTGTCGGACCCGATTCAAGTCAAAACAACATGCCAAGATGGGCAGGGAGTGACCGGCCAGGGTCCACGCGCCTGGTCTGCAAAACGGACCAAGGATATGGGGCAGCGTGCAGAGGTGAATGCTGCCACACCATCGGGGATTGGCGCGGGGTACAGGGGTGGGGGTCAGCCACTCCAAATAGCTGCCACCCGCAGAATTTCAAGATGGAGAAAGCGCCATGGCGGGAAGGGCACCTCGGCCAAATCTGACTTCGCCCTGTTGAAGAGTCGCTTCTCAGACCCCTCTGCCCCCTCCTTGGGTGTGCTGAGATCCAGGGGAAGATCCGCCCTCCGTGTCCGGTTCTCGCCCTTGAGCAGCAGCAGAGGGAGAGACCCTCTCGCCAACGACGAGTCGTTGCTCGCCACCCCATACTTGGAGGACAACGCGTTGTACTCTGACTGAGCTCGTGTTGTGATCATCAAACATTATGACGGACAACCCTTTCAATGACAACCCCTTTGGTCGCAACCAGGTCGGCACAGTGTTGACGCTGGGGTTCTACAAAGTCTGTGCAGCACTGAGCGTGCGCGGATTCCGTATGTCGGAAGCAGGGGGGACCTCGTACCTGCTCGCATTGATATCACGGTCTAGGTGCATTTGGTTTCGGAGTATCGACATTCCCCTCTCCCTCGCGGTGCCCGCAGACCAACGGATCGCAGGCCGCATCTGCTGGTGGGTGCGGGCCTGGCTCATCGTGCCACGCAGGGAGTTGTGGGGCGGTAGGAGAGATACGCGGACACAATGCTCAATTGATTGCGCCCTTGCCCTTGGCACAGGTCCCTGGGCGACAGAGAGCAGCGCTGGGGCATGGGGCACCGGGGCACCCGCTGCCACCCCAGCCTGGGCTGAGGATGTCACGACCAGTGCGTTCGCTGCCCCTGCTCCAATGCTGAACGACACCGTGCCTGCTGCCCCTGGGGTCAAGAACACGGTGAGGAGCTGGCTTGTCCCATTACGTCGTCAGGGCAATGTGGTCCTGCCCCGGCACTGCCCGGTGACCCGATGAGCGGCAGCAGCGGCGACCTGCCAATTGGCAAGTCCTATCCTCTTCCAGCCCAAAGTGCCTGCTCCTTGCTTCACCAGTCTTCCCACCCCATCCACAACTCCTTTCCTGCCGCAGAAGACCGAGAAGAACCTGGACAAGCGGGAAGCTGACCTGAACCGTCGCGAGGCGGAGCTGCGTCGGTTGGAGCAGGAGCTGAGGGCCGGCGGCGCCGGCAGCCTGAAGAACTGGCCGCCATACTGCGCCTTCACCTACCACGACATCCGGGCCGAGATCCCGCAGCCCCTCCAGGGCATGGTCCGGTCTGCCTACTGGGCATACCTGGTGAGTGGCCGGCGGCGTGCCGCCATTGCCTAGGCTGGCGCACTGGGTGCACAGTTCTGGATTGAGAGTCAGGCAACTGGTAGAGTGGTGATCACCCTCGGTGCAAACCACGATTTCCTTCCTTCATCACCATCATCTGGCATTCGCTGATTGCGCGGTTCAAAATCGCGAGATCATCCCAGCTCACCCTCGGATCTTGGCACCCCTTTCACACCTCCCCCAACCCCCCTCGCCCAACCTCCCAGGGCCTGGTGCTGTGCCTCTTCTTCAACTTTGTGGGCACGGCCGCCTACCTGATCGGTGTGGACGGCGGCGGCATCGCCGCCTTCCTCTGGGGTGGGCTCTACATGCTGGGCGGCGTGCCGCTGGCCTGGTTCCTCTGGTACCGCCGCGTGTACAGCGCCGCCATCAAGGATAGCGCCTTCCAGTACGGCCTTTTCTTCGCCATGTACATGGCTCACCTCATCTTCGTGGGCTGGAGCGTCGTCGGTACGATGCAGGGAGGGGAGGGAAGGGGAGGGCATGGGCGTGAAGAGTACCGGCAGAGGCGCGGTTGTCGGGCGTGCCCCAGATGGTGTCTGGAAAACTCTGAATGGCCAGAGACCAGGACATTTTTGCATCTGCCACCCCCCCACCCCTGCTATGTTCCGCTGACCTCCAAGTATCACTGCCCTGCTCCGCCCGCAGCCCCGCCCATCCTGAACTCCAGCAGCCACACCGGGTTCTGGGAGGCCATCAACGTCATCAGCGACAACACGGGCGTGGGCGTCATGTACTTCATCGGTGCGGCGCTTTGGGCCGTCGAGTTCCTCTGGTCCTTCTGGGTCCTGAAACTGGTCTACTCCTGCTTCCGGGGCCAGGGCCACACCGCAAGGAGCGTGAAGAACGACGCAGCGGCCACCGGAGTGAGGTCCCAGGTCTGAGGCGGGGGTGGCACATTGCACCCACTGCCGCCCAAGTCGAAATCGGCTTGGGCTGGGCAGGGCTGGAGCACCCCCGCACCCATGATTCCGCACTGCGTGCTCCTTTTCACCCGTGGTCTGAACCGCGATGTTGGCTTTCTGTAAGGAGGTATTGGCCCGACGGGGCAAGCTCCCCGTGACCCCGGGGATCTGTCTGCATCTGCCACTTTGCGGAGCGCCCGAGAATACAAACGCAGCGGCATTGATGGGGGCACCCACTGCACGAGCAAGGCCACCCATTCCTCGAAGAGAGACTGGTAGCTTCGGGGGCCCCACGGCGGGGAGTTCTGTCCCTGGAACCAGGAGATCCCGGCCTTGCTGGGAGGAGTGAAAGACCGCGCGGGGTGCCGGAGACGGCGGGAGCAAGCATGGCAGCAGCGATAGAACAATTCCAGAAGTCCGAGACGAGCCCAACGTGCGTACCGCATGATTCATCTGCCCCATACAATGCGCTCCCGCCTCGACACGCCTTTACCACCCTTCCTTGCAGGGGCAGGCCCAGCGGGGATGCGGAGCACAACGTGTCCCGTTTCGACACGGCGGAACTCATGGTAGGTGTCCTGCCGTCCCGTGGGATTGCGGTCACAGGCGTCAGTCTGGGATGTGCCGTGCTGGTCGGGAGTGTTTAGCCCGTCGCCCACCTCACCATAGGCGCGCGTTCGAGCCCTGGCCCAGTTCCCGGAGGAGCTCCCGGCAATCTACAGTCGTGCCAAGCCATCTTCTGCCTCGCTGCAAGCGGTGTATGGGTGGCAGGACCTGCGGCGGCGGCGTGAGTTGGAGCTCCTCTCCGCGTACGGCGGCAGCGCCATGCAGCCCTCAACCTTTGTGCCCACGACCCAGCTGCCGCTGGTGCACTCTCCTTCGACGCTGCACAGCAATGATGCCATCGAGCGGCCCACCACCTCCCTCCCCCGCCAGGTCAGTGGCATGGTGAGCGCGTGGGCCATGTTCCATGCTGGGGGAGGGTGCATTGCAGGCTTAAAGACTCATAGCTTGGAGTTTCGGGAGTGAGTGTGGTCCAAGCTTATGTGAAGGTCTCGTCTCGCCACCCATGCCCTCTCAAACTCACCGAGGGCTGATGGAGTGTGTCACTGGCCCACCTGCGGGACGGAATGGAAACTTCCAGAACTGGAGTCCTTCGTGGCCGACTTCCTCTTCACCCTGTCTTCCCTCCCAAACTTACACAGCTGGGCAAGACGTCCAAGCACCACAAGGCCAAGGGGAACAGCAACGGGCGGACCTACACCAGCAAGTTCCGGGGGGTGCACCAGACCTTCCCCACCAAGCGATGGGAGGCCCAGTTCCGGCGCAACGGCAAGCCCACCTCGCTCGGCTGCTTCGACGCGGAGGAGGAGGCGGCGCGCGCCTACGACAAGATGATGCTGTGGTGCGAGCTGCACCATGCCACTGGGGTCAAGGGTGGCATCACCAACTTTGACCACTCGGACTACGAGCAGGACGTGTCGTGGCTGCTCAACATCACCCAGGTGAGGAGGGTGATTGGGTGCTGGTTTGTACAAGGAGACGGGTGACGCTGATGTACCTTTGAGCCATTGCGCACTCAGAAAGTGCCATGACAGTTGCGCCGCACAATTGCAGATTGTGCAGGGCGCTCTCTGCTGCTGTGAATGACCACCTGTTGCACCTTTCATTCCATTGTATATCACCATGTCTTGTCAACCAACACCCAACTGCCTCAGGACGACCTGGTCCAGCTTCTGAGGAGCGATGGGAGGCAGCAGGCCCAGAGGCGAACGATGCGCCAGAAGCGAGACCAGGTACTGTACAGCGGCGCTGGAGCCTCTGGCGACGACGACTGACCATGGAATTTCACCAGGCCGGACGCCGCCCACCCCAACCCCCAGGAGCGCTCAGCAACTGTACATTGCACGTGCCTTGACACCCTCTACTTTCGACTGCTGGTGGCATTGACTCTATGTTCCTGCTCCTTCCCTACATCATGACATATATCTTCATGTCTGACCTTTTGTTGCCATGTACCCTGCCAACCCCCCATCGCTTGAACTGCCAGTGGGCGGACACCCATATCCTTGCGATGCAATGCAGACCCTCACACTGCACTGATGTACATGAAGCCGGCAGGCTGGGGGCGTGCAGACGTGGGAAAGGGAATCCCCCCCATAGAGTAGCTCATCGCTTTCCGCGCTTCCCACGAGTCCCCGAGCCGCTTCCTGAGCCAGCTGTTGCCAGGGTCTTAGGCTTGCTCTCCTCCGCAGCTGGCTTCGCTTCAGAGGGCGCCTGCTTCTTGGGGCTGAACATATAGACCTGCAAGACACAAGGGTGTTAAAGGTGGGCCGGGTGCGGAGGTATACATTGTGAAGAGCAGCAGAGCGAGCACAACATGACGAGCCATGCATTGCAGAGTAGCAACAAGACGCCTATAGGCAGCGATCAACCCCAGCCCAGCCTGCCCTCCACCACAACAGACGTACATTGTAAATCACATTTCGCCGGATCTGGGCCATCAGTTCCACGTACAGGCGATACGCTTCCAGCTTGTACTCCACCAGAGGGTCTCGCTGCAGGGTGCAGAGGAACATGGGTGGTATGCCCTCGCCACAAGCTGATGCTCGCATTGCAACCTAACCTAACCCAATTACCCCATCCCCCCCCTCCCCCCCTTCCGCGAAAACACGCATTCAAACACACACACACCTGGGCATAGCCACGCAGGGAGACCGCCTGCTGCAGAAATTTGATGGCCTGCAGGTGCTCCTTCCACAGGTTGTCGATCTGCAAGAGGAGGAAGAAGCGCTGCGCCTGCTGCATCAGCCCCGGCTCCTGTGCCTCGATCTGCTCAGCCTTGATGTGGTAGGTCGCCTCCCCCTTGGCCCGCAGCAGGGTGCGAAGCCCCTCGAAGCCGCCCTCCTCTGCCGTCCGCTTCAGCGTCTCTGTGCGTCGAACGGGAGGTAAGAAAGGGCGCCGGCTGAGAAGTTTGCTCCGAACACAGGATTTTGCAGCTCAGTGAGCAGTCCATCGCTGAGAGAGGACCAAGAGCGGCGGCTGACAGGAATGTTTCCAGGAAATTGAGGGTTGGCCTGCATAATTTGGAGCCCCCGAATGCCATAGGGCCATCAACATACCCCACAGAACATTCAGCAGCTGATGCTGATAAGAGTCGCATCCTTTCCCCGAGCTGTGCACCACAACAAGCAACACTCGCCTGCGGTGACATCGGTCATGAGGGGGCAGTACTGCAGCATCTTGGCGGCCAGAGCCTCCAGCGGCCAGCCATCTTGCGGGGTGCTGGGATCCACGTTTGCCTTGAGCAGAGGGGGTTGAGGGCCGGTGGGATGCATGTCTGGTGAGGCGCCAGCTCCATTGACCCTTGTCCAGTCCATGTCCCTCTCCACAGCAGTAAACCCCCCGACCCAGCGTCACCCGGCCTCATCACACAGATCCCCACCTCCAGGATGTCGTCCACGGTCTTCCTGGCGTAGTCGAGCATAACGGGGGTGAGGCTCTTGGCCAGGAGCGCGCGGCGGCGCTCTGCGTACACCCGGTCGCGCTGTGTGTTGAGCACCTGGTCGTACTCGAAGAGCTGCTTGCGGATGTCAAAGAAGTAGGCCTCCACCTTGCGCTGGGCGCCGTCCAGGGCGCCCGTCAGCATCTTGGACTCGATGGGCAGGTCGTCGATGCGGAAGGCCGACATCAGGCCCTGGATCCTGCACGGAGGGATGAAGGATAAGGAGGTTTGGGGGGGGCCTGACGGTGCATGATGCGCTGAGGTGCATGTTGGAGCGTGGTGGGGAGGAATGCGGTGTTCGAGCACAGGAAACGGACGTTTGGAAGAGTTGGGGTCATGCAATGCAAGCTGTCTCATGGGAAGACCATGAGTCAGACATAAACGCGAGCCCGGGGCGGCTCGATAGTGCTGGAGCGCCTCCCTGGTGCAGCTCCAGCAGCCCACCACAATCCTACATACAACCATTCACCTCCCAGGCACACAACTTCCAGCTTGCATGCAGCAACCCCACACCCATTCTCCGGCCTCTCCGCTACCCAACCCAGTGCATCACGCACTTGTCGCCGCCGAAGATGCGGAAGAGGTTGTCCTCCAGGGACAGGAAGTAGCGGGTGCTGCCGGGGTCGCCCTGCCGCCCGCTGCGACCGCGCAGCTGCACCAGAGGCGGGGGGG